ACAATACATATACATTCATACGTATACATGGGTGGCAGTTGAGGCGATGTACGTATGTATGTATGTATGTATACGAGATCATGTTGCGTACACACGGGCATAGACAAGATGACATACGCCCTCACCCACCCCGCACCACCCACCGCACATACTCATGAATGACCGACAGGCTGGCAGCCAGATGATGGTATGATCGTTGGTTGTGTGTCTGTGTGTTGGTTGCTGTGTGGCTGCCTGCCTGTCTCTCGCCTCTCTCCCTGCCTGTCTGTCTGTCCGGTCGCTTGCACCACCAATCACGCCACCACCCCTCTCTCTATCCACGCGCCCGTCTCTCTGTCTGTCTGTGTCTGTCTGTCCGCCTGCCTGTCTGCCTGCCCGTGCGTGTCTCGGTGTCTCGTTGCCTGCCTGCTTGCCTGTCAATCTATCTATCTTCCATGGCTATTGGCCATCAATGTACATGTGTCTGTCACAGGTGGGAGCACTATGGATATTTTGGACGCCTTCTACGGACGAGTCGCGAACGTCCCCGAGTGCCCGTCGGACAGCGGCGTCACCGACTGCGGCTCGCCATCCGGACTCCTGCAGAAACTCAAAGACCAGTACGTTTCTCACGCACTCATTTTGCGAATCCTTATCTTGTGTGTGTGTGTGTGTCGTGTGTTAGGTGTGACGGCCAGGGCAGCTGCACAGTGAAGGCCGACCCAGAGGAGCTGGGGGACGAGTGCCCGGGGGTCGAGAAGTACCTCACCATCGACTTCAGATGCAACTGACGGCCTCTCGTCTTAGTGAGGGTGTGCGTCTATGTCGGTGTGTCTGCGTTTTGTCACGTGACGCCTATGTGTGATATGTTTGATTCGCCGGTTAAATTGATAGTGTGCGTGTGTCGCATATAACTACGGCCGGCGTTACTATGCATGTATGCTAAAGGAAGGGCTCTGCGCGTGTTTTCATCTCATCTGTGGGTTTCTCTGTGTGTGAGCGGATGTGTGGGTTTCTATGTGTGGGAGCGAATGTGTGGGGCTATCTGTGTGTGAGCGGTGGGTGGGTGCACGGCGCGTGTAGTCATAGCCATATAACTCACATACACTTACAGTGTTCCACGTGCGCTTCCCATTCGTCATTCCCGACTGGGAAGCGCCCGTTGTAGTCGTCTTTTGGTTTCATTAACATCGTCGTCCGTTTCCTTTTGGCAATGGGTCAGACAGAGGGAGAATATGTCTGTCGCTCGCTTCTGCGCATGTATGTCGATTTTATGGTGTGAAGTACGTCGAAGCTAAGGATATACATACAAGGACGAAGCTATTGCATGGAGGGGCTGCGGCCACCTTTTGGCCAAATGCGGGTATAGGAAGGCGGGGAAGGGGTGGAATGAAGAAGGTCGGCTGGGGCCGGGGGGGTTGTTTCCCTTCTACCTGATGCTGCTGGGGTCCATCGGGGATGCTCTCAGGTCCGCACCCATCATCGTGAGGGAGCGGGGCGAGTGGGCACACAGACAAGCAGTGATTGTGTGTGTGTGTGTATGTCTCACAATGGCATCCTACAGCCCAAGCAGCCAGCGAGGCGAGACATCTTTATCGCGGGATGGTGTTCATTCGTGATGTAGATGACACACAGGCAGGCACACGGGGGGGGAAGCCACTCTCCAGTGATTCGAGTGAACGAGCCGTATTAATTAGCGTATGTTTGAGTTTTTCCGCTGCCACAGATGGCCTCTCTGGTGCGTCTGTCTGTGTATGAGTGTGTGTGCCTTTATCGGTTGCATGCGTGACTTGGTTTATCCAATGAGTCGATGATCGAAAGAGAACACACTCATCCACGGGGTTGACAAGAAGTAAAGACACGCAGTGTCACACCAAAACAACAGTGCGTATCACACGGGAGTCATTCAGCTCTCACAGACGGACAGACAGACAGACCGACTCGTTTTGTTGTCCATCTGAGCACTTGAGGTGCCCTGACGCCAAACGATGATCCCATCTGAACCAATGCACTGAAAGCAGCTGATACATCGAATGGGACCCCTCACATTAAACTGCCAACCCCTCTGGCAATAAAACGGAAGGACACGCACTATACCACACCAAGAACGGCAGTGCGCATCACACGGGTAGACATCAAGCAAGTAACATACGCACAGCCCAGACAGACAGACAGACAGACAGACCGACAGACGGAGAGACACTCGCTTTTGTCCACTTTTTGTCCATATCGCCCATCGCCAATCCGGTCCTCGCCCCGCCCTCGCGCGCGCGCGCACACACACACACGGACATGACACGGTACATAATAAGTATGCGAAAAGGGCCATTGGTTAACGGTCCGTTGCGTGGTGTAGTGTCGTTGGTGTGTGTGAATGAATGCCTTCATTCATTGCGTTTCCATCCAACACGAAAAAGGTACGGATGGAAACGACCAGCAGCCCTGCCACTGCTGCTCGGCTGTCTCTCTCTCTCTCTCTCTCTGATCGTGAGAGAGAAGCTAATCTACATGACCGATCATGTCAGTTCACTGGCCTTTTCCCTGCTGTCTTCATGTGTGTGTGCGGGAATGACGTTGACGTGCTTTGGCAGCACGGCCGTGTTGGTCAGGTGTCCCCTCATGTGCACCACCAGCCCGCGCTTGGCCACCTCGGGCGGCAAACACTGTGTCTTGAAGGTCTCTGAATATACACACATTGACATACTCGCGCGTGTGTGTATCTGTGTGTCTGGCTGCATCATAACTCACTCACCGAAGACCTCGTGGAGGTGTTCCAGGTAGGTGGCCAGCACCCTGGCCACCTTCTCGTCGCTCGGGTTCGGGTCGGGCTCACCCACCTCAAGTGCCCGCCCAATACTGACACCCAGAGACAAACAGACACAGAGACAAAGAGACAAAGAACCATACACACACCCACAGCACATGGCCGTCTGGATGACCGGCCCTCTCTGTGGCTCACCGACCCGAGTGTGATGGTGACTGGGTTGGGTCCCCTCAGCGGCATGATGGGCCACCTAACCATGCGGAACGTGTAGCGGGCCAGCCGCATGCCCCACTCAGGCACACTGAAGGCTCGCGTCTCCTGGAACGAGTACGATGGCAACAGTGGAACACCGTGCCTGCAGGCATCAACCAACACACACACAGGCTCTCACATAGCGTGTTGTGCGTGGGGGTGGGTGTTCTCACTCGATGGCCAGTCGTATCCAGCGGAGTCGTTTTGGAAGATAGAGCTGCTCTCGCGTCGGGTCGGTGTGCACCTGCTCGTAGATACCGCCAGGGGTGATGAACAGCGTCCTGCCTAAACCAACCAACACCCCCATCCACAGCACATGCCTTCGGCCTCTTCTTGGGGACTGACTGACCGCTCTTGAGCGCCATGCTGAGAATCTCTCTGTCTGCCGGTCTCGCACCCCAGCACAGGCACATCTCGCGAAGCACTGCACACACGAATCAGGACCAGACACACACAAGCAAGGCGCACACACATACATACAGACTATAATTGGCCGCCCGATTGCGACGCTCACAAGGTATATAGAAGATGCCGGACGCCACCCCAACAACCGCCTTAGTCCTCTGAACCAAACAAGACAACACAGAGAGAGCAAAACGGTCAGCCAGCACAGTGGCAAACCCCTTCCCCCTCCCCTCACGAGTTTGCAGGTGCTTTCGATTGTCCTCAGCGGCCCGATCAGGGAGGGCAGCACAGCATTGACCCCGTGCGGGTGCCACGACACCACATACTGCCGGTCAAGATCCCAGCTCTTCTCGTCCACACACACGATGCCGCCAAACTTGAGCCCTCCGAGTGCGTAGAGCCTCTGCACGCACCATCGCACGGCGTGGGCGAGCCAGTCTGGTCCCCAGTCGCCGAGGTGGGTGAGGTGGGAGGCGGTGCGCCACAGATAAATCAGCCAGAAGGCCACAGAGATATTCGCGACGAAGAGGGCGAAAAGGGCCGCGGTGAGGGGAAACATCCCACCAGCTATCTGATGACGTCTGCAGGACAGCAAACGGACGAATGACTGAATGAATGAGCAACGCAGCAGAGATCCCATGCGTGCACTGAGTGTGGTAAGTGTACTATTTTGCGGTCTTTCGCCGCTGCTTTGCTGCAGGGTCGTTCTCCGATGCTGCTGCAGTCCTGGACGAGAGAAGTCAGGTCGAAGTCTTCAACGCGTCGACCCACGTGCGAGCTCAGCTCGCAGACGTTGGCAAGAAAAAGGTGTTGATCCATGGTTTGTTTGTTGATGGAGTATCATTGGATGGCTCATCTCTTCGCAGCTTATTCATCTACATTGATTCGTTGAAGAAAATCAGATTCGCACACCGACCTGCAGACAGATGGGTGAGGGAGAGAGCCATTGAGCAGATCCTCGTGTGTGCGCGTGCATCTGTGATTCTTTCTTCCTTTCTTTCTCTGTCTGTATGTGATCAGGGCTATCTATTAGGTGTTGGCCCCTGCTGGTTCTGTGGCTCGTGTGTGCGGCAGCAGCCCAGGTACAAACAAACAAACAAACAACCAAACACATCACATGAGTGCAATTATGCCACCCAATGCATCTTGTGTGTTGTGTGTTGTGTGTGTTTGTGTGCAGGGGAGTGCTGGCGGGAACGGCTCTCTGGACAGTCAGTCAGCAGCTGTGGTGTGGTGGGAGGCTCACGGGAGAAACGACCTGAGAGAATGGAAGGCCGGTACGCATACACACACAGACGTAGACAGACAGACAGACAGACAGACGGGCAGGTACATGTGTGTGTGTGTGCTTCGTGAGCAGGCTTGTTGAAGGGCAATGACTACGTTAAGATCGACCTGTATTTCTCACGGGATGACTCTTTCTGTGCGTATGGATGCATACATACATACAAACAGACATTCACATGCATATCTGTGTGTGCATGTGTTGCTTTGTTGTGTAGGTGGGTCGCAGTCGCGTGTGCGCACACGTGGCCCTCATGGCGCGTGCATGGTCCTCGAACACACACCTGTCAAACAGGTGATATGGTGGATCGATTCATTGATGCACACGAACAAACAGCAGGACATTTGTTTGTGTGTGTCTTGCGTGTGCAGGTGACCGACTACAACACGACGGATGACCTGGTGGATCTGCTGCAGTCGGAGGAATACAGAAACCTGCTCACAGTGAGCCGCACAATGCCGGCATCTGTCCACAGGGATGTATGTGTGTGTGTCACGTGCAGGCGCCCACGAAGCGGTGCATCCAGCTGTGCCTAAAGCAGAAACCTGCAGACATCGGCGAATGCACACTCGGTACGCCCGCCCATTTCCCCCACACTAACATGCTTTCATGTGTGCGCAGAGACCCCAGCAGCGGCCGATTGGATCGCTCTACTTGACGACCTCTACGCCCGTGCCAACGAGGTCATACACGCCAACGGGCTTAACGTTGAGCTGTTCCTCGATTCCATTGACGGCGCCATCAAAACATGCCCCCATATCGTGAAAAAGTGGGCGTGTTGGACACATACGGATGGATGGGCGGAGGATGTGGGTGCGCGGGTGGATGAATGTGTGTGTGCAGGTGGCCGTCTTGGAGGACTACGTGGAATGGCGACCCGCAGCAAGCCATGGACAATGATGCCGCACAGGGACACGACCGAGTGCAGGTGCGTGTATGGGTGGGTGGGTGTATAAGTTGGTGTGTGTATGTCCATATCTGTGTGGGTGAGTGTTCATTTGTGTATGTGGGCGTGGGTGCAGATATTGAATCGCGAGAACGACAAGAGGGTGTGGGAGTCGCTAGCTGATCGGTCTTTCGACAAGTGCGTGACCACCGATGGATGGATGGATGGATGGACACATGCATCTGTGTGTGTGTCTTCGGTGTGGTGTGGTGCGCATTCAGGTTTGTGCACAGCAACTACTCGTTCATATTGTACGAGCCCAGTGACGAGACTGCCATGAAGGAGGCCATACAACCTTATGTGCACTGGGTACGGACGACAGAACACCGCCTCTCTCCCTCTCTCTCTGTCTCTGTGTGGCTGTATCTGTGTCTGTCTGTGTGTGTGTGTGTGTGTGTGTGTGCGTGTCAGGTGGACAGCCACCCCGACATCCCCGTGCCCCCGATGCGCATAGCCTACAACGGCGATCCGGCCATGTACCACACCTACATGAGCAAATACCTGCACAAAGGCATACACAAGACAATCGGTACGTACGAGTGTTATGTGGGCGTGGGGGCGTAGATGTATTTCTGTGTCTGTGTGTGTGTCTGTGTGTGTCTGTGTGTGTCCATGTGTATTTCTGCGTGTGTGTGTGCGTGTGTGTGTGTGTGCACACAGGTCCGGAGGATCGGTCCAATGCTGCACTCGTCTCTGCGCCGAAATGCCTCCACAACACCTACTCACAAGAGGTACCTCTGCACACACACACACACCCTATAGTGAGATTCGCCAGCAGCCATCCATCCATCCATGTGTCTGTGTGTGTGTGTTCAGGCGTCATTTCCGTTCATCGGTGCTGTGCTCGTTTCCGTCACCTACCCAAATACAAGTAATTGGGCAGGCACAGGCCTATAGCCACACACACGTGGGGTGGGGTCATGTAAGCTTCGCTGCGTGTGTGGTACCCTCACTGTATAGGCACAGACAACACGGCCATGTTCCACGTGACGGAGCCTGTCTACCTGCCCACGTACACACACACAGAGAGAGAGGGGGGGAGGGAGAGAGAGAGAGGGATCTACACGTGTGTGCGTGCGTGTGTGTGTGTGCAGTGGCCCCTTGCTGGAGCGCAGTAGAATCGTCATGGACCCTCATGGTGACCTGCAGCCGATTAATGGACTCGGCAGAATCGTACGCACCAGACGAACACATGTGTAATGCTGGGTGTGTATGCCACCCAATATGTGTGTGTCCATTCCGCCTCTGTGTGTGCAGGTGTCTCTCTCTTCGATCACGGTGTGGTCCCGCGACAAATACGGCAGACACTACCGAAGGTGCCTGTATATCAATCGCAACACATCGCGACACACCACACTTATGAGTGTGTTGCGATGTGTCCAGCTATCTGTTGGCGAGTGACGGTGAGTGCGGGCTGGCGCTCTTGCGGTTCGAACCCTACGGCAACCGGCTGCACGCAGAGATGGACGAACCTGTGCATCTGCCGTTACGAGTACCGATGGACGGCTGGCGAGATGTCAACCGCATCATTACTAACAAGGAGGAGGGAGGGACTGTCAGCAACGCGTACGCACCCCATGGCTGCATCCACACAGACAGATACAGCCATGTGTGTGTGTGTGTGTGTGTGTGTGCGCAACGAACAGGGTGATAGACTCGATTGCCGTTGAGACGCTGCAGAGCGGCCAATATGGTACGCACCTGCAGGCCTGCAGGCAGACACACGCACCGATGGATGGATGCACTCAGAGACCAATGTGTGTGTGTGTGTGTGGGTGTGTGTGGATGCAGGTGTCACGCACGTCACTGTCGCGAGCGATGAGGACTCCTTCTGCGGCCTCATGGTAGGTACCCTCACACACACACACCAATAGATCTGCACCCATAGCTATCTGCACATACAGGGCAGTGTGGAGACAGCCTGGCGCTTCAATAAAGACGGACACACAGGGTGGGTGGGGGGGTGAGGGGGGCTGAGACACACACACACACACACACAGACAGACACACATGCAGAGAGAGAGAGATGCAAACGGACCGTAGTGGATGGATGTGTGTATATTGACAATCATCGCCAGGCCTCCAGGTTGGTTGGGAGCGGTGCCCTCCCCGCGCTACTTCGACCCGCACTACGGACGGCAGAAATACATATTCCACACTTACGGCGTGCGAAACACCGGTAAGCACACACGCACACTCGTGTGCATCTCTCTCTCCGTGTGTGTGTGTGTGTGTGTCTATAGGTGACGATTGCACATTGTATGGGCAGCTGTGGTACCTCCTGCAGTACCTCAACAAACAGCGAGGCGCCGGCCGGCCTCCTGTGGCCGTGCGTACGTGTTGATGAGGCACATCCACATACACAACGCAGAGAGAGAGAAAGAGGTCCGGACGAAAAGATGCGCACATGTGTGTGTGCAGGTCAGTCCATCTCGTCGTCGATGCACGCCATCCAGCCAGTCGGCCCCCCTTTGTGTCTATCCACGATCAGAGTCAGAGGGACCGTCAAGGGCTCAGCTGTCGTGGTATGCTCGGGGTTTGGTGTGTAGCGTGTCTGCGGAGGGATGGATGGATGGATGTGTGTGTGTGAAGGTGCCCATGAAAGTGCTCAACAGCACACAGCCAGCATTCATGGTCCACAAGATCCAGGACGGCATCGCATGGGAGAAAGTGAGCCGCCCATCCGCCACTACACACACACACGCGTCTGCATATCTCTGTGTGTGTGCAGGTGTCCTTTCACTTTTTCATTGAGGCAGCGGCGACCTTCCACAGTGACGGCAACAAAGTGCAGGTGGTCACCGTCCAATACCGCCTCACAATAGACGACAGGTGCGCCACACAGAGAGAGGGATCGACGCCCACAGATCGACGCATCCACGCATATATATATATCTCTCTCTCTGTGTGTGGGTGTGGGTGTGTGTGTGTGGTTCAGTTCTCCGGCTGATCCCAGGCTAATTGGGGTTGACATACTCCCAGTACCACACACAAATCACGATCAGGCTGCTGCCGCCGCTGCTGCCAAGTACGGGGGTGGCTATTTCGCCAGGGGAGTCGACCCAGATGTCAGCCTGACGCTTGCAAGTGAGCCCTGTGCCCACACACACGGACCACCCATCCACAGAGAGAGAGAGAGAGAGATAACGCATGTCTGTGTGTGTGTGTGTGTGTGTGTAGTCGACAGGGTGTACATGATGGTGGTCAATTCTGGGGCTTTCTGCTGGAACTCATTCGCGAGAAACGACGCTATCGAACCATTCTTTACAGGCACCTGCCTGATACGCACGCGACGCACACACACTCGTGCACCTCTCTCTCTCTCTCTCTCTGTCTGTGTGTGTGTGTGTGTGCGTGTGTGTGTAGGGTTGAAGGTGTGCGACAGTGTGAAACGTCACGTCGACACCGAGGCGGACCTGCCCGCTTCACGCGTGTAGGTCATCTTAAGACACACCACACCACACACCAAATGGACGGATGGATGGATGGATGGATGCGCCCCAAATAGGTTGGCGTACACGTATGGCTCTCTTGACGCGATGAAAGGCCGGCTGTGGGAACACAGGGATAAAGAGGGACAGGTAGGTACACACACAACACACAGGCCTCCCCTGCCTCTCCTCTCTCTCTATGAATGTATGTGTGTGTGTGTGTGTGTCAGATTGCGTCTGCGTGCGACTCAGAGCTTTTCCACGGCACCTATGACATGGGCAGGCAGCCGCTCGTCACCATGATCGGCAACGATCGGGGACTCCCCACGGTAGCCCCCTAAACCCATACACGCACACACACACGTGTGTATCTCTCTGTGCCTCTCTCTGTGTGTGTGTGTGGTACCTGCCAGCATGTGTCGACCCATGTGTCCCTGCGTGGCCCTCTTGACGGCGGCAAAGGCGGCGAAGACTGCGGCAGACCAGAGACACATGGTACGGTAGGCCAGCGTCTGGGCATACACTACACATGGATGGATGGATGGGTGTGTGTGCAGGTGGTGCGTTGGTGGTTGACTCCTTTCCCCTGTTCTCCACCGACCCGCAACACTCATCGTGGGACGACAAATGGAGAAGTACGCTGATGTGCGAACGTACACACACTGGACGAGATGCTGTGATGCCATCCTGCTCATGGCAGCTGGATCGTCGCACATTCCGTTGCCGCCGCCTGTGCACGAGAAGAGCGGCTTCCTGACGCTGCTGCTGCCGCTGTCACTGGTGAGTTGAGGCCACCTGTGTGTGTGAATCTCTATGTGTGGGTGTGGTGTGGTGTTGTGGAGGCGGGAGTGATACTGTCAGGGCTGTCTTGGCTGCTCATCTGCAGAGAGGAGGGCAACACTGGTGGTACGTGAAGATGCATAGATCGACACGTACGGGTGTGTGTCTAGTTTAATGTGTGTGCATCTAGATCGGCCGTATGGGTGTCCTCCGTCGTGCCCCTCGTCTCTCTCACGAGTCATGTCCTCTGTTGGTCGTCTCTTCTGCTGGTCCATACATACCCACACACGTCCACCCAACCACCCACCCATTATCCATATGTGTGCTGTGTGTTGATTTGTGTATAGGTGTTGCTGCTGCAAGAGGTATCTGCGGCAGCAGCTGCTGAGAGAAGAAGGAGACGATGAAGAGGAAGACAATGAGAACGACAATGGTACGCTCTCGCATACACACATACACACATCAACCGACGTGCACATCCGTGTGTGTGTTGTGTGGGGGTTGTGTTGGGTTGGGTTGTGTGTTTAGACCACGAGCAGCAGCCGATGGATGATGGAATGTCAGAGCTGGAAATGACCTCCAGAGAAACAGGTAGGTGGGTGGGTATGGGTACACGTACGTATACACACCCATTTCAATGTCCTGTCGCGTATGTGACGCGTGTGTGTATCCATGCAGACCAGGCACCCAACGGCCAACCGAGCCAGCACCGGCAAGAGAGCGAATCCCTCACACACCCACACAGGGGAGACGGGCAAGGCTTACAAACACTCAGGTACACTCCCCACCACACAAACATGCACCCCACCTGCACATATGGGTGTGTGCCGTTCTTCAGGACGTACCATCCCTTGTCATGGGGCCGCACCCTGCTGATCAACAGCGACAATCCCGATAGTACCAACGCGCGGAGAAGACCCGATGGATAGATAACCAATGATGGATGGATAACCAATGTGTGTGGATGGGTAGTTTTTTTGGTAAATGCGTCTGTGTGTCTTTCTGCACACACACGTGTGCCAATCAATGTATGTGTATGCGAGTATGTATGTTTGTCCTCCGTTAGTAAGGGTAGATGGAGGAAAGAATGATTTTATACGTAAGGGGGCAAGTTGAGTTGAGCGGCCGTTAGGCAGACGGACAGACAGACACAGCCACAGAGAAAGAGAGGCCTGTATGTGTGCGCGTCTGGGTGTGTGTCAGTGCGTCATGGCCAGCCCATGGTGGTACGTGGGCAGCTTGTATTTGTAATTAATGTCATATCTGTTTCTGGCGAGTAGTTTTCGCTCTCACCCCACCCGTCCCCGCACACACAGATCCCCTGTGCAGCTAGCGTGTGATCAATGAATGGATCAGTTGGTCAGGCCTGAGGCTCGCCGTGATCCTTCCAGTACTTCCACTTGATCAACCCTCCGCGCCACATACATCACATATATGTCCACACGCAGATCTAATTAATATGTATATCAGTACCTACCGGGGAAGTAGAAGCCAAAGAGGCGCTTGACGCCGTGCGGAGTTGTCACGGAGAAGCGGTCGAAGCAGTATGGGCGGTCATGACAGGGGCCGCCACAAAAATGGCGTGAAAGAGCGCCACGGCAGCCAAACATCCTGTCTACAGCAAGGCTTCACCGCAAATGGCGCCGCTGTGTTGCCCGCTCGCCTGCAGGTTCAGGGATCGCGTGGGGGCGATCCTGTGCGTCCACTGTGTTGTCTGACGACACGCAGGTGCCCTTGGCGCGGTGGCCAAGATGGGTCAAACTTGAAGGGTTTGGAGCTTGCGTTCGGGTCGGAGAAAGAAGGCAGCTCTCTTCTTCCATAGTTTTGGCTACTACGCAGGATGTCCTGAGGCAGTCCCGTCCGTCGCTGCACGTGTGCACCTCCTCTCTCCCTCCCTGCCTACCCATCCTATCCCACCCACCCATCCCGCCACCAAGTGCACGTGCAGGCATCTACCTACCCCAGGTGGCTGGCTGGCTGTCCGTCTGTCTGTGAGAAGGCTGCTGTGAGGCCATGGCGCTCAAGCGCGTGTTGGAGGACGACCAGCTGCACCGATTCCGCACCTGGCCATGTGAGCGGACTGCATGGATGCATCTGGGGACATGTGTGGGGGTCGGGGAGGCTGCTGGCGAGGGGAATGCACCGTGTCTCTGCACCACATGCGGCACAATGGGCGTACATGAGCAGAAACGCCTGGTTCTCCCTCTGTGTGTGGCGTGTTGTGTGTGTGGTGTGTAGGTGAGCGTTTAGAGGCCCTGTGGCGTGACCCGAGAGGACAGAACGTGTGTGGCTTCGGCGCACAGTGAGCACATGCACCCACATGCACACATACGGGGGAGATCTGGGCAGGAAAGGCATAGATCTACGTGTGTGTGTGGGTGTGGCCATGTGTGTTGTGTGTAGGTGTCAGTATTCCCATGAGGTCCACTGGGTGCGCCGTTCACCTGTGCGTCGGGTGCGTCCGCCAACACATCACAACACACATGCCCTCTCCAGGGAGAGAGATCTACGTGTGTGTGTGTCGCGCCTGTGGTGTTAATCTCTGCAGCTGGGCAAGCAGGGCATCCTCTACGGTCCCAAGATCTGCCCTCGCGTGAGCGCAACCACACGTATCTCCCCACCCCTCACACCCACATGTGGCGCACCGTGTGTAGGTGACGTTGACCAAGACGCGCCGCACTGTGGGCGTGGTGGAGTTCGACTTCGTCCATCTGCAGAACGACTGCAACGCGTACGCACACAGTGGATGGCCAATGGCCAATGGACCATCCGCACACAACAGACCAGACGTTGATGGGCGGATCTTCACCTGTGTGTCTTTGTGTGGTGATGTGTGTGGCGTGTGGTGTGTGCAGTGGTCGTGAGTGTCCGTTCAGCCACACACGGGTGAGTTGAGTGTAGTGGGGGGATCACACACACGCAGCGGCACAGAGGGAGGGAGGGAGGGAGGGAGAGAAACAGAGAGGGAGGGGTGGTGGTGGTGTCACTGGTCCACATGTATGTATACATGTGTGTGTGCAGGAGGAGCAGTTCTACCATCCCAAGGTTAGTCAGTCATCCCATTCGTCCACACACATCACGTCACATCACATCACACGCTACAACACGGCTCATGGTGCATGTGTTGTCTGTCTTGTCTTGTGTTGCCTGCGTTCCATTCCATCATTCAGTTGTACAAGACGATCATGTGCCCGTATCTGGCCACGGGACCCTCATGCCCACACCACTACTGCCCATGTGGTACGGTACACGCAGCACAATGGCCAACACACATCACACACATCACCCAACACACACACCTTCACCCGTGTGTGTGTTGGGTGTGCAGCCCACAGCATGGACGAGTTGCGCGAGCGCGAGGAGAGCATCGAGGAACTAGGTAGGGATCCGCACACACACACACACACACAGGGGGGGGGGAGGGGAGGCCTCCTGTGCACATCACATGGCGTGTGTGTGTGTGCGTATGTTGCTGATGTCAGCTTTGCCGACGGATACTGAGGCCCTTAAGGAGGCCATGCCGCCCATCTACACACACGTACACACACCACACCACACCACAGCGCAGCACAGCACAGCCAGGCCACACACTCATCCCCTCATCCATGCACTCATCCATCCGTGTGTCACCCACCTGTAGGTGTCGTTGTCGTTGGAGATGAACCCACCACCCAGATCCATCCCAGTGCCACGAGGTGGGTGGGTGGACACACAACTCTCAACTCATTCTCGCACGCACAGACTCACACACATACAGAGGGAGGGGGAGAGAGAGGGCATCACTGGCACACACGGATCTCTGTGTACGTGTGTGCGCATCTGTCTGTCTGTGTGTATGTGTGCATTCAGGTGGCTGTCTGCGTATCGCCCAGAAGGACCAGCTGAACCGGCAGCGCATGGCCGACCGCTACAAAGACGCATACGGAGGCAACAGACAGTCCACCGACCCATACATGCCTCCGGGAGGCACTCGCATGGTCGGTGGGTGGGCAGGGTGGGCACACACCCCACCACAGACACGCCAACGCACACACGGACGGATGGAGGGAGAGGGAGACAGAGAGAGAGATGGGTTGCTATCTTTCCTTATCTGTCTCCTTCCTCCCTGTCTGTCTGCCTTTACACATGCACAGGTTGGCGGCGGCGGTGTCAACGTCGGCTACGGCAGGTGAGATGAGAGCACACCATACCCACCGCACGAACCATTGCATAACCGTTTGTGTGTTGGTGTCTGTCTATATCATGTGATGTGTATCGGTCAGCCACCGCGGTGCGTACGGCACGGGCGCATACGGAGGCAGCAGCCGGGCCGGCGGGGAGGTGTGTCGATTCACGGGCAGCAGCTACGATAGGCGTCGCAGCGGCGGATACTCTGGCGGGGGTGGTGGGGGCTATAGGTATAATACCTACCTACACCCACCAGAAACACACCCACAGCATCCATCAATCAGCCGCACGAGTGAGGTGATTGATGTGTCTTGTCTGTGTGCGGTCAGTTCTGGCGGAGGCGGTGGGTACGGCGGCGACCGTGGCTACTCTGGCGGCGATCGCGGCTACTCTGGCGGGGGCGGTGGGGTTGGGGGATACAGCAGTGGGGGCGGGGGATACGGGGGCTCGTCTGGCGGCGGGGGATATGGGTACGCATACACAACACAACACAACACAACAACAACCTCCCTCCCACACCCATCGGCAAATGCATCATGATGTGTGTCTGCTGGTGCCTGTGTGTGTCTCAAGGTACAACTACCGCTCCGGCCCGTCCATCTCGATCGGTGCTGGTGTTGGTGGCGGTCTGAGCGGGCTCATCGGAGGGAGCGGCAATAGCAGCGGCGGCGGACAGACACACCCAATCACACGCGGCGGTAGCAACGGCGGATTCGGCGGCATCGGTACGCACACGCACTCACACACACCGAGAGATGCGTGTGTCCATCTCGAGAGATGGACAGACACCATAAGATGTCTGTCATGTGTGAGTCTAGGTGGCGGCCATGGCGGCGGCGGTTTGGCCATCATGACACCCACTCCACCTCACCCGATGTCGCTCTCGGTGAGAGTTAGTTGACAACACGACATCCTCACAGAGACACCCACCCTGTATGGCCACTTTGTGTGTGTGGTGCAGACGTTGATGCGCGTGTTGCCCAAGGAGGCCATGATGGATCTGCCAATCCCGACCATCAATCCCTTCTACGGACACCCACACCCACACCCACTCCCACAGCCACAGCCACCGGCACACAACCACCACTCGTACCCACTGGCCATCGAGCACTTCATCGACTCAAACGCACCTACACCCATGTAAACCAAACCCCCTCTCCACCAACACACACACACAGAGAAAGAGAGACATCGTGTGGTGTGTTGTGGGTGTCAGTTCGGCTCCCGGTTTGTTGCCGACCCCGCTGGCCATCAATTTGGAGTTCCACCACAAGATGCACCAGATGGGCGGCGGCGGAGGGATGGACGCACACACACCCATGGCGGCACACAACAACAACAATCCGTTCCCACACGTAAGCCCTTCCTTCTTTCCCCCACCCCCACCCGCACAAATGGATGGATGGATCTCTCTCTCTCTGTGTGTGTGTGTGCAGACGATGCCGTTGTCGGTGTATGCGTTGGAGGGCGAGTGGGTGGACCGCTTCCCCGAGCCCCCCGTCATCCCGCCCTTCACCCCCTCGTGCATCAACACCCCCAAGAGCACCAACACCGCCACCAATATGAAGAAGAAAATACTCAACAAACCCGTCGCAAAGAAACGTACACTCCCCACCCCACACCCACACCCACACCCTACCCACAGACACACAAACAGAGAGGTAGGGAGAGGACGCATGTGCGTGTGTGTGTGTGTGTGTGTGTGCAGATGTGGAGTTTGTGTGTGCGGACGAAACCAATCTGTCGACGGCCGAGAACAGCGGAGACGAGGGCAACAAACACGACGTAGGCGACCACCCAACCTGTCAAGGACAGACAGACAGAGGCAGACAGACAGACAGAAACGTGTGTATGTGATGTCTTGTGTAGGATGATGATTTCGACTATGACGAGTTCGACCAGACGTACAACTGCACCAACTGTATGTCTCACAGACCCCATCACACACACACAGCCTCTGGACGGATGGATGGATGTGTGTGTGTGTGTGATCTGCAGACGTGTCGGCATCCTACACGACGGGCACCACTGCGCCACTGATCGAATACGCCTACACAATGCCGGTACGCGCACACACATCCACCCCACCCCACCCATACACATGTGACACACGTGTGCGTGTCCCCGTGTCTCGGTGCCATTGGTTGATTGCAAATTGCAGGTGCACCAGACACCGATGCCGTATCAGTTTCCGGCGGCCAACTCGCCGTTCCCTCCGCTGCTCGACACACCACACACATATGAGGTGCGTACGCACCTAGAGAGGGAGGGAGGGAGGTACACACACGACGGATGGATGGATGTGTGTGTGGTGATACATATATGTGGTCAGTTTCCGCACTTCACAGGGGCGCTGCCTCCCCCGCCGCCCATGTACACCAACACCAACACCAACATGCAGTTCATGGTACATATGATCCATACAAGACACACACACACGCACAGACGGATGGATGCACACGCTCCGTCTAGGCTCACACACTGACTCCCCGGCCCCCTCCACCCCCTCCACCACCACCCATGGACGACACCGATACGGTACACATCCCCCGAAAACCTGCCACGCACTACATCAATCAACCTCCTTCTCTCTCTGTGTGTGTGTGTTGACTGCGCCTGTGTGTCGACAGGTGGTGCAGACGGCTCATCCGTATGAGGTGGTGCACCAGTGTGTGCCGATGGTCCCAAAGGTAGAGGAGATCGCTGACAACGAGTATGCTGAGGGGGAGGGAGAGGGACAGGGGGAGGACCACAACAATGGCAGTGATGGCAGTGATGGCAGTGGCGGACTGCAGGAGGATACTGAGAGTACGGTTCATTTCATGACACACAAACGACGCACCCATCCATCCATGTATATATTGTGTGGACATTCCTCTCTCTCTCTCTCTGTCTCTCTCTCTCTGTCTCTCTCTGCGTGTGTGTGGATGATTTAGGCAAGGAGGAGGGCAGCAACAACTAGGTAGCTCAGCTCACTGCTGCTGTTGGTTGTCGTTGTTGCCCATATCACATGGATCGTATCGATCGTATCGTAGCGTCACATCACACCACACCCTTCGCCCATTCATACTGGACACACACCCATATGGCGTGTGCGATGAATGGGCTGACTAGGTAGCTAAGACGGTAGGGGAGGGAGGGAGAGAAAGGGGAGCACTGACTTTCTCTTACTCAGCCACTTGCTGGGCGGGGGGGTGGTTGCTGCCATACGCACACACACATGGACACATGCAGACATGCATCGTTCCATCAATCCATTCCATGCATCCACTGACTGGGCTGTGTTTACATCCTTACATGTGAGTGTAGGCAGGCAGGCAGACAATACACACATACATAACACAAACACAAACAAACAGCACTTGCTTGTACAAAGAGAGAGAACAGACAGACAGACCCAATTTTGCCTTCCTTCGCTTCAGTTCAACACCCCCACACACAGACACTGACAAACAAACAGACAGACAGACAGACGACGTGTGTGTGTGTGTGTGTGTTTCGTATCCATTTCGTACCTCCATATGCATGTACGTGTTCAAATGCAATGCATTCGATATACATTGCACTATATACGTCTCAGTGCAATGGAATGCCTTGCCATGCTTCCCTTCCTGTGTTTGTATATATATTTGTCGCTCATCGCCCATTCCCTCAATAAGTAAATAGCCTGAGAACCCCCCTGGCCGATGCGATGCACCCGCATCCTTCGGTCGATCCTTTTTGCTAGATATACTACACAGAGCAACACCATATATGTATTTGTCCACCTCTGTCAATTGTCTGTGTATCGTGTGTCTCTGCGTGCATTGCATTGGTCGGTCGGCGTTCGGCTGATGCGACGCATCCACACACACATATACATCTACATATATACATGTGTGGCTGTCTACCCACCCATCTGTGTACATACAAAGGGAAAGGCTGCTGACCACTCACTGGTAGGAAGGCACAGAAAAGGACAGAAAGGCTGGCTGATGGATTGCGCGGAGACAGAAAGAAAGAATGCTCGGCCGGCCAGCTGGCCTCTCATTGACCCAACACAGCACAACACGGCACGCACCAACCCCACGTACATGCCTGGAGGTTTCTCCCTTGTGTGCCTGTCTTGCGCAGCCATCCGCACATGCGCGTAGCTAAGTTAGATGTATGGATGTGTGTGTGTGTCAGTCACTCATCGATGCATTGCATTCACGCACTCACTGATGGGTTTAATCCTCACCTTGCTGATTGACATGCATGCAGTCGAATGCCACGCCACGCCACCACACGCCACCCCATGTACACACACACGTGTATGAGTGCGTGACGTTGAGTGTTGTGTTGGTTAACGTAGAAATGCTACATGCAGGAATGGGATGGGTGTGGACGGATGGATGGATGAGTGTAGTCTTCACGTGTTGCCTGCCGTGCTGTGGTCTCGTGTCGATCCGTGGCTGGTGCTGTGCTGCAGCCGGACACAGACTTGTGTGTACGGCTACAGTTGTGCACCAGCCCTGGATCGACACACGAGATGACGCATGCACGCACACGCCTGTCTGTATGTGTGATGCTGTGGGGTGTGTGAGCGAATGGGTGGTAGGCCCTGTTTACGGGCATGGATGGTCATAACACATAACACATACACTGCTAGATAGGCTTAGGACCACTGGAGGATGAGGGGGAGTGGGTGGGTTTGTCGCTGGGAGTGGAGAGCTGCCGCTGATTGTGTAAATAGCGACCGACTGACCGAGCTATGACAGCGATAGGTGAACGGACGGGACCAGTGGGGATAATGTGACACCTAAACCTTTTACCCCCCAACACAACACCTGAGGCGATACATGTATGAGTCAAGTCAAAGATGCTTACTTCCAAATACTCTGCAGAGCGACAGACGGGATCAAATGTTTCATCAATACGTGCGTGCACACACGGGTCTACCGATGCACACGCGACCGATCAAACAGCCAAAATGAGAATGGACCAACCATGCTCTTCTCAACTAACAGTCACAGACAAAAAAGATGCAGCCACCGTCTACGGCCCATCCATCCATCATCACAGACACAAATTTCTCCCTCTCTCTTGGTGTGGTTCAGTCCGTCCGTCACCGGACGATGGCCAGCAGCCGCAGCTCAACAAAAGCCGGTCTGTCGTAAAAGTACATGCCCGGCGGCAACACAATGCGACGCACCTCACCCACACTACACACATAATCACACAGACAGACGAACAAAGAAAGAGATGGAGTGAGTGTGTGCATCTCTGCCTCCCTCCTTCCCTCCCTCTCCTTACCGCATGTGTGTCATGGCTTCCCTCTCCCACTCAGCCGACAGCTCAGACACGCGGATCTCATCCCCACGGTCCTCCCCTCTGTTCGGGCTGCACAAGAGTCACTGAATGCATTCACTCACCCCACCCCACCCACCGAACCGATTGACAGCTCCTTGCTTACCTCACCTGTCAAATGCGTCCAGCCATTCTATCTGGTCGAACTTGACCGTGGAATCAAGGTTCGGTGAGGGCCCCGAGCCCTCGGTGACTATGCGGTAGCTCACACCAGAGGGCAGCGACGCGAAAGGCTCACTCTCACCAGCCGAAGTCGACATCAATATCTCTGACGTGCGTCTGTTGGAATGAATGAATGGATGACGGACATTCACTGGATGAGGTTTGTTATCAGCGTGGCAGCTCACCTTTGAAGTGGATGGTGTCCTTGTTTTGTTGCCTGAACGCGACAGACAGACAGACAGCAGCAGACATGTACAGACAGAAAGGCCAGCGCATTCATTTAGGTCAGTGATGAGCGCATCACTCAGTGCGTCAGTGACTGTTGGGCCTCCCTTACCTCCGATGTCTGTCAGCTCAACGCCCCCGCCACCCCACCGCAGCAGTCGAGAGGACGACTGACTCGAGGGACTCTTCTCGCCCTCTTGTCGGCCGAGTGCCTCACTCTCGCAACGCAAGGCGCACAAACAAAACGCCGCACTTCGGCCTCTCGTGGGGCTATAGGGTAACAAACCCCTTGACCCCTCGTCAAACCCTGTAGCCAACGGCCCTTTCACACCCTTTGGCCCTCCGGCTCTTTCGGTTTTTGAGATTGGCTGTGTCCTCCTTCCCTTCCCTTCCCTTTGTTGTGTGGTCGGCCCAGCCCACACACGTGTCAGGCGGGGCGGCTGCTGGCGGCACTGACACGTCAGTCAGGTCAGTGAGTGTGTGAGGCGCCTCGAGCATCGCCATGCCATGATGCTTGTCATCTGTGTGTCTGTGTGGCATCAGCGCTGATGGTGACGATAGGTGCCGATGCGCCGACCTCCTTGGCGTCTCTCTCCCTCTCCCCTTCTCTGCCTCGTCAGTCGACTGACCGACGACAGACACCCAAGACAAGGCGAGACCTCTGACGGTGGGTGTGCCCGTCTGATGGTACACAGACACCAAAAGGGAAAAGGACACACAGAAAGGCCGATGACGTCTGTTTGTCTGTCTGCGGCGGTGTGTGTGTGCCAGCTGTGACCGATGTGCTGATTTTGGGACAAGCGAGACGACGACCGACCTCTCCATCTCTTTGCATGCTGAGTGCTGCTTGTCTGTGTGTGTGTGTGTGTGTGTGGATGCATTTGTGTGTGGGAGGCAGGATGGTCGGCCGATGAGTCGACGGACTCCCTCTCTCTCTCCGTCTGTCTGTCTGTCTGTCTGTCGCTCTGTGTGTGTGAGGGGACGGCTGTCGTGTGTTGGTCGGCCTTATCTCTCTGTGTGGACTGTGTGGTTTTGCGTGTGGGCCGTCTGTCTGCTGCCGTGAGTGTGTGGGCCGGTGAGTGGGGGGCGGGGGAAATATGACAGACAGACAGAGAGAGAAGGGGACGATTGGCTGACTGGCTGCACAGAGAATCGCTGTGTGGGGCGGTGTTTGGGCTGCCGTCTGGCTGTGAGACGCGAGTGTGTCACGGCTGATGGCGAGAGTGTGTTGATCTCTCGTCGGTGCATCCGTCATACACGGGCGGCTCACAGACAGACAGACAGACAGACAGGCCAACACACACCTGATCTGTCCGTTCGGCTGATTGGAAAGAGAGAGAGTGATCTGTTGTCGCTAGCTCTCTTTGTGGTCGCCTGCGTATTTGTGGGAGGGAGAGAGACTCTCTCCCTTTGTGGGCATCTGACTCTTCCAGGTGGCAACCTAGAGTATCAGCCCTTGTGTGGTGTTGGTGCTCTGGGGTTGCCGTGTGCTGGCAGAGATGCCCTATCGGAGGGGAAGTGCGCAGCCCTCCTGACTGACGGCTGTGTGCTGAGATCTGTCTGTCGTCCTTTGGCGTCCACTTTGCCTTAATTGTCAGCTGAGGTCGGCGACACAGACGCACACACACGTGGCGAGTCAGTCAGGTCAGTGAGTGAGCGAATGAGGGACGAGAGCATCGCCATGATGTCAGACGGCCGCTCTGCTCTGTGTGGTGTGCTGCAGATGTCTGTCCGTCTGTTTGTTGAGTGAGTGAGTGTGGGTGCGGCCGTCCATCATGACGACAGACAGACAGAGAGACAGACAGTGCTGCAGCTGAGGGCGCCGAGGTGACTTACCGCCGACTGCACTCGAACACCGCAGCGGTGCGCAGGCAGACAGCCACACACAAACACAGAGAGAGAGATGGGATGGATGTGACACACGACAGCACAGAATCAGCCGACTGTCTGTCTGTCTGTCTGTCTGTGTGTGGTTTGTGTGGCGTGCAGGTGTGGTTGGCTGGCGGGTTTGACGCCTGACGATAGCCGCTGAGTGCTGCTCGTCTCTGAGTGTGATGTGAGATGGGTCGGCCGATGTGTCGACGACTGACTGACTGACTCGACTTAACTGAATCGCTTTGTCTCTCTCGTGGGGTGGCCGCCCTTAACCAGGAAAATTGTGTGTCGCGGGGGGGTCTTTGTTGTGCCGTCCTGAGTGAGGGGATGGCCGCCGTGGTTTATATGTGAGCTTGTCAGTCTGGCTTGAAGAAGGTGCATTGTCACATCTCGTGGGGCCTTCTACTGGGTGTGTGATGGGAGAGAGAGAGATGGCACAATGAGATGAGGGAGAGACAGAGTGATTCTGTTCGGTGCTGTGACGCTGCAATGTGCTGCACCTGCGTGTGTCGGTGTGCTGGCTGTCTGGTGGTAGACGGCCACCCAACACAGTGAGTGCTGATCTTCACTCTCTGTGTGCGGTGGCCGTGTGGCGTCTGGCAGACTGACACCACACGTGAGGCACACAAAGGAATGGCAAAGGCACAACTGTGACTCACAGGGGGTGGCTGTCGTGTTGGTCGCTTTGTCAGAGTGCTCTCATATAGGGGTGTCGGTCTGAGCATCGCCATGCTTCCTCTTGCTTACACTCCTCAGTGTGTCGGCCGATGCACGACAGACAGCCATCACAGGAAGACAGACAGACAGACAGAGAGAGAAGATTGGCTGACTGGCTGCACAGAGAATCGCTGTGTGGGGCGGTGTTTGGGCTGCCGTCTGTCTGTTTGATGCCGGCGTGTGATGTTTGTTCGCGAGAGTGAGTTGATTTCTCATCGGTGCATCCGTCACACACGGGCGGCTCACAGACAGACAGACAGGCAGACAGCACACACACATACATACCCGCAGCCAAAGAGAGAGTTTTGTTTTGCTGTGTTGGTGTGCTGGCTGTGATGATCTCGTCCGTCACGTCACACATAGAGTGTTGATCATCGCTCTCTGTGAGTGGCCATCGCGAGCATCTCACAGACAGACACCAGAGTGGCCAGCTGGATTGTGTGGATGGATTCCCTCTGTCTCTCTTGGTTGTATTGTGTGTGACACTCACCACCTTCTTCTTTCTGTGAGTGAGAGATTTGGGAGATGTGGGCAATGTGTGAGAGTTGGGAAAGAGTGAGAGATTTCTGTCTTCGCCAGCTGCGCTCTGCATGGCATTGTGTGAGTTTTCCTGCCTTCGTGTGTCCCTCTCCATGTTTTTGTGGGCGTCGCGGCGGCCTGACTGCAATCTCAGAGTTTCAGCATGTGACTCTGTCGCTCTTCGATTGCCGGGCGGCTGCCGAGATGCACAGAAGAGAGGGGGGGTGATAGATATACTGACACATCAATGCGGCCACACGACCCATTTGTGCGATGTCGATAGGCACACATCGACGTTTGTGTGTTTTCTTCCCTCCCTCTCTGTCACTTCCCCTGTCTGTCTGCCTGTATGTCGCTCTCTTTGCTGACGGACATGTGTGCGTCGCCGTCACATGGCTTTCACCTGCTGGCCTCTGTGTATGTATGTGGGTGGGGTAAGAGAGAGAGACTGTTTTGTGTTCTGTCGGTTATTATCTCTAGGGGTTTCCTGTGTGTGTGTGTCCCTACCCTCTCTCTCTCTTTCTATGCATCTCAATCCCTCCCTGGCAACTCCAGAGTATCAGCGTACGAGGGTTGTTAAGGCGGTGACAGAGATGGTGACAAGGGGGGTTGGATGAGTGAATGCATGGACACACACGCTGGCTACTATTGTGCTTTTGCCGTCCCTCAATATACCCACAAACATACACACACGCATGCATGGATGGATGGCTGGATGGATGTGTCGATTCGTGGATGTGTGTCGTTCTGTGCCTCTCTCTGTGGTGTGAGTGGATGGGCCAATGCATTTGTAAGTGAATCGACGCTTTCTGTGTGACACGTATACGTGGGAAGAAGAGTAAGGGAAAGAGGTCTGTTTGCTTCGCTATTGGTGTGCATCGTGTGTTCACATGTGTTGGTGTGCTGACTGTCGTCGGCTCGTTGGTGACCGAACACGGTGATTCACTAACAGTGTCACTCAATATTGGTGACCGAATATGGTGAGTGTTCACTGAGAGTGTCACTCACTGTGTGCCGTGGCGATCGAGCGTATGACAAACTCACAACCCCCAAGCGCATGGATGGACAGAAGACAGCTGTGTTGACGAGATAGAAGAAATACACTTTCATTCACACAATGAAATGCAGGATGTCAGTATACACACACATTAATCCAATATCCCAGCACCCCTCTCTGTCTTCTCGTAGCTGCCTAAACCCTAAACCTGCCTATGTATCATGCAGTCATGCCTTTCACGCACACTTTAGGGTTTAGGGTTTAGGGTTTAGGGTTTAGGGTTTAGGGTTTAGGGTTTAGGGTTTAGGGTTTAGGGTTTAGGGTTT